TCGTGTTTTGCAGGCAGATTCTTTACTGACTGAGCTATGAGGAAAGCCCGAGGTGCTAGTAAAGTATACAGGAGCTGGGGCACTGAGGCTAAGCTGGGAGCCTGAGTTTCCATAGGGTGAACATGGACACCAGAGGCACCAACCTCTGTAATTCCAGGTGATGGAAGCAGACACCATGTTTGTGTTCTTGAGAAAGAGGGTACTGAGAGGTGGGGAAGTGGAGCTTAAAGCCAGAGAAAGTAGGGACCATGGGGCCAGGGGTGGGGTCTGGGGTAGGGGAGGCTGATGGTGGTTCCAAAAAATGGGAAGGAACACCTGCTTTAACCCAAAGCATACTGCAAGCCATCTTGAATGTTGCACCTCTCTCACTTCTGGCTCAGGGAGTAACAGGGATTCCCTTCAGGAATGTGCATGTGCCAGGAGGGTGCATGTGCCAGGTTGCAAAAGACACAAGAACAAACCTAAAGCTTTCCAGAACACAGGCAGACATTTGGAGCTCCTGGCCTGGCCAGAATGTGGCCCTCCACCTGGTGACTTCTGTCCCTGCTTCTGCCATCTCAGTTGGGCTGTTCTCACAAACTCAGCACTTTCATATCCAGGTTCATCATCATTGCCCTGGACTCAGGGAATCCTCACAGCCAGTATCCCTCCAAGGGAATGTGGTCCTCTCCCAGGACAAAGACAGACATGAGAAGAAGAGGGGAAACAAACACCTCTGTGGGAAAAGGTCATTGAGGACAAACACACAGCTAACATCAGACTCAAAGGAGAACACCTCAAAGGAGATCCTCCTTGCAGGGGTGCAAAAGGAAAGGACTCTTGGTACAGAGGATCTTAGGAGCAGCTGCTGCAGGATCAACTTCTACCTCGATCCCTGGAGCAGGTCAGCACTCATGGAGAGAGTTCCATCAATTGAACCAAAGGTTCACTTTCTCCACTTGGACCACAACTATACCAGAGAGGTTGAGCTGTTAATAGAGAGGTCACAATTTGGAGTAACTGTTACTGAATCATGTTCATTTGCCTTACAAGCAGGAAGTCAAACTATGAGACATGGGAGATTTGCAGCAGAAAGGGTTTATTTTCAAGGCATTCAAGCAAGGAGACAGGAGAATAAACCTCAAATCAATCTTGCCAAAGGCCAGGGGTTTGTAACATATATGGGATAAAGAATTAGGGTGGCCTGAGTTATAGAAAGCATGGCAAAAGGTGACTAGAAATAAGAAAAAGATGAGATTTCATCATTTTGGGCAGGTGCAACTAAACTACATGGTGTTTCATAGGATGCATGTTCAGAAAATGGTGGCATTAGTATTTTCTGAGGGTGGAGTTTTTGGCCCTCTGACATCAAAAGGTCACTGATCAAACACCCTCCCAAGCCAGGAGGAGAATGGGTAGTCCCAAACAGTCTTAATCAGCTGGAGTTCAAACAGGACAATAGCTGACTCCGAGTTCCAGAAAAAGAACATGGGGAAACATCTTAAAACTCTTACATCAAAGGTACCGATAAACAGGGGTCTTGAGGAGATCTTGTAGCTTATTCTTTAGGCTACATGATGCTTGGAGGATATGCAAGTTCTGTAAAAACAATTAAGGTGATCTTGACCAGTGAAGGCAGATTACAGTTTACTATTAAGTTATAGTCTTATGCAGTGGTTCCCAATCTTTTTGCCACCAGGAATTTTTTTTAATTAATGTATTTATTTTAATTGGAGGCGAATTACTTTACAATATTGTGGTGGTTTTTGCCATACATTGACATGAATCAGCCACGGGCGTACATATGACCCCCATCCTCCCTCCCCATCCTGTCCCTCTGGGTCATCCCAGTGCACTGGCTTGAGTGCCCTGTTTCATGCATCAAACTTGGACTGGTCATCTATTTCACATATGGTTAATATACATGTTTCAATGCTATTCTCTCAAATAACCCCACCCTCACCTTCTCCCACAGAGTCCAAAAGTCTGTTCTTTACATCTGTGTCTCTTTTGCTCTTTTGCACATAGTGTTATTGTTACCATCTTTCTAAATTCCATATATATGCATTAATATAATGTACTGGTGTTTTTCTTTCTGACTTACTTCACTCTGTATAGGATCCAGTTTCATCCACCTCATTAGAACTGACTCAGATACATTCTTTTTAATAGCTAAGTAATATGCCATTGTGTATATGTACCACAACTTTCTTATCCATTTGTCTGCTGATGGACATCTAGGTTGCTTCCATGTCCTAGCTTTTGTAAACAGTGCTGCAAGGAACCAGTTTTGTGAAAGACAATTTTTCCATGAGACGAGGTTGGTGGATGGCTTGGGGATGATTCAAGTGCATTACACTTACTGTGCACTTTATTTGTATTATTATCATATCAGATCATCAGGCATTGGATCTCAGAGGTTGAGGACCTATGGAATGGATCTAACTGATGACTGCAAAATAGGTTTCATAATGACAATGTCAAGAGTTTGAGTCAATGAAGTAGGAAGGAAGACAAAAGTACTAAAGGGGAAGAGAACTAAGAAGCCAAGACTGGGGGAGACGGGGTGGAAAGGGATGAGATCCATGAGAATATTAAACTCACCACAAATTACAACAGATGTGGAATGAGTGAGAATTACAGTGAATCAAGTGTTAACATCTTTGAAACTCTGATACAGACACTTGTTACACTCACATTTGATAAGTGACTGGCATGTAGTATGACTGAGCCTCAGTTTTTTAAACAATATTTTGTTTATTTACAAATTATGGTACTACTATGAAGGCTATAGAAAGAAGGATGATATAAAGAGTAAGTCAAGAATGCCATTTCAAATAAAATGGCCAGAAATGCCCTTTTCAAGAAAGTACTGTCTGAATTTGTCTTTGAAGAAGAAAGAATCAGCACTGCATAAAGCTGGAGTAAGAGTTGAAACCTAATTTTTTAAAGGTTAAAAAAAATAGAAGATAGGAATACTTCAAAGAATTAGATATGATATTGACTAATAATCATGTGGAAAAATGATCCATCTTCATTTGCAATCATAAATGCAAAACTAAAATACAGTGAGATAACATTTTACTGTACTAGGTTGGAAAACAGGTAAGAGTCTATTAATAAGAAATGTTTGCAAGGATGCGGTGAAATGGAAACATTTCTCTCCTCTGCTCACAGGAATGTAAATTACGAAAAATATTTTGGGGGAAAAAAAATGAAGTCATTACCTGTTAGCTTGAAAAGGCACACATAGAATCAATTAGTACTGCAGTCCTAGGTGTATGTGATAAATATATGAGTTAAGAGTTCATGATTTAAAACCAGATAAGTCTGCACTGGACGCCTAAACATCTAACATAAACTTGGTACATACTAACTTTTAAAACTTATTTGACTACTCTGTTGTGAAGACCAAAAAAAAAAAAAATCATTTTTTTCCAAAGACGGCAGGAAGAAACTTCTGCATTTCATAGATATATGTTGTGCTATGCTAAGTCTCTCAGTCTCCTCGGACTCTTTGCGACCCCAATGAATTGCAGCCCGCCAAGTTCCTCTGTCTGTGGGGGTTATCCTGGCAAGAATACTGGAGTGGGTTGCCATGCCTTCCTCCAGGGTATCTTCCCAAACCAGGGATCGAACCCAGATCTCCCGCGTTATGAGCAGATTCTTTACCGACCACACCACCAGAGAAGCCCGTTCGTTTATGGCTTAGATTGTGGTGATAGTTTCACCAGTGTATACTTACATACAAACTCAAGTTGTATATATTTTAAAAGTATAGCTTTTTGTATGTCAATCATACCTCAACAAAGTATTGAGCTCACATTTGAGAAAATGATTGTTTCTCAAAACTCAGTAGAATGAGTGATACATAATCAATAATAAAACAATTTAATTATCCCAAGATAGCTTTATAGTTTTTTAACAGGTTTTTACCTTTAGGAAGAAACTGCCACAAATATTTTATTTAATATTAAGACAGAACTTTACCTAAACAGATATGAGTATTTTCTATTTACTATTCAGAAAACAAGCTTTAAAGGATTTTCATGGAGCATTTAGATAGGTCTGTTTTATGCTGCCAAGGGGGTGGTCTACTTGAGTGGTTGTCTTTCTCTTTGCGTGTGTTAGTCACTCAGTCATGTCCGACTCTTTGCAACCCCATGAACTGTAGCCCTCCAGGCTCCGCTGTCCATGGGGCAAGAATACTGGAGGGGATAGCCATGTCCTTCTCCAAAGGATCTTCCCGACCCAGGGATGGAACCCGGGTCTCCTGCATTGTATGCAGATACTTCATTATCTGAGTTACCAAGGAAGCCTACCATGGTTTTTTTCTCTTCCATGCCTGAAATCAAAGGAAAACATTAATTTAAAGGTAACTATATTTACAGTTCTACTATTGGTGTATCTTTTTCTTCTCTCTCTAAAAATGCGGCACACAAGTATTCTGTCCCCTGGAGGACTATAAAGGTAGCTCCCTACTGTGATCTACCAACTACAGCCCCGACTATTGGGCAGCACAGATACCGCGAGTTCTGCGAGGCGGGGCCTCCGAGGGGGCGGAGCCTCCGGGGGCAGGGTTCAGCGTGACATTTTACGACCAGGATTCCACTGGCGTCACTTGCAACATCTTTGGCCATCTGGTGCGCTGACTAATCGGTGTGAGGTGCTGCAGACTAGAATGGGAGAGGCTCAGCCGAGCGCCTGCTAGAAGCCTGGACTGCAAGAAAACAGGGAGGCAGCCCCGGAGCTCTGAGAACTCGCCCACCATCGCGCCGTCCTGCGCCCCAGCTGGCCCGCACCGCGTCACAGCGTGCAGGACTGAGCCCTCGTTGCCCTCTGCCAGGCCCCAGAAGCGCCGTCCTTCGGTCGAACTTGATGGGCAGCAGGCCCCGAAGCCCCGGTGCTTACTCCTCAGAGCGATGGGGAAACCAGGCCGGAAAACCCGGCCCTGCCAAGCGCCGCCGAATGGAGGAGCGCGCGCGCCCCGAGTCCGAGTCCGAGTCCGAGACGGCGCCCAGCGTGGACAATCTGACAGGATCTACGGCTGCAGACGCGCTCACATGCGTAGTGGTTCTGCCCGCTGGCTGTGCCCTGCATCTGCCCCTGGACAACGTAGATCTGGTACTGGAGCCCGAGCCCACGTCCGTGCTGCAGGTGGCTCTCGAAGATTTTATCCTCACACTGGTCCCCGAGGCTCTCTTGGGCTCGAGGGTGGAAGGCCCGTCGGGACAGGTCCTTGAACGGGCCTCTGTCCTGAGCCCTCCCGGGGAGTACACGGCTCTGGAACCGGGATTCTGCGCAGCTGTGCCAGAGGTCGCCTGCGAAGAAGAGGCCAACGCGGACGACGCCGACTTGGGCGCTGACTTCCTGTCACCTGGGATGGATGTGGCAGGCGACCTCATCCCTGGGCTCCTCAGCCCAGCCGCCAGGGTGTGGCGCTCCGACGCACAGGGTTTCTTCCCAGAGTTCTGGCCTCGAGCGCCTAACCCTAGTGCAGAGAGACGCTCTTCTCACCACGACGACCACCTGGACGTGCACCTTCTAGAGCCCTTTCCCAACTCACCACTCCAACCTCTACCGCCCTCTCCAAGTCCGAGCCCTCATGAGCGCCCCCAGCGCCCTCACGGTCCTGCGCGCAAGGCTCGAAGATGTCTGTTTCCAGAATGAACTACATTCTGGTCCACAAGCACACAATTCTAGCTACCATCCTGCTGGCCCAATGGATTTCCCAGTGTCCTTTACATTGAAAGTCCTACAACCTGGAAATTAAGCATCTCATGTGCTTTGTACCAACAATTTCTTTTCCCCTCCAGACAGGCTATAGTGGCAGGAGAAGGCCTCAAGAAGAGAAAGCAGATTCTAGACTTCATCTTTGAAATGGAAAATCTGTCCAGGGATACCAGACAATGTGTTTTCAGACGTCTGGACTTTTTTATGCATCATTCTCAGGCCTCTCCATTCCCTTTCCTTTCGCATCAGTTATTTTCTCTCAAATTCTACTCTCTCTTGCACCATACAGTTACTACCCTATTGCTCCCCCAAACAGGAAATTGCTGGAGATTTCTCATGTTGTTAATTTCCTTCCTTATATGTTTTCTCATGAATTTATAAAGATATTTAGCCAGAGCTTTTCTCTTGGCGTTTGGAGCTGCTCCCTTGGAAAACTGCAAAATAGTATGATGGCTGCCAAACATAATAGCATGATGTTTGTTCTTATCTTCCTCTTAACCTGAAGAAGTTCTCTTCCAGTTAGAATTCTACCTCGAGTTTTTTCTTATATCAAAGTTCTTTTAAAACATTAATTTATTACTACATTTGCTTCACATTTTTATAAAAGATAAAATCTAATGGTATTTTTATATATATTAATACTATCTATATACACCAACATGCTTTACCATTTCTTCTCTACCATTTTATTCTTACATTCCACTCTCAGTCTAGCCTCAGTTTTCTCAGTGAAGACTATCCTTTAAAAATTGTTCTTTACATTGTATCATATTATAGTAAACTATCTTGGTTTTATAAATCTCAACATGTTTTTGCATTGCATACTCTCCTAGTCTGTTACTGAAAATGTTTTATTATATATTCATTCCTAATTTTAATGTGACATTAAAGTACTTTAAAGATATCACTCCAACCACAGTTTACACCATAAAAAAATAAATAAATAAATAAAGATATTACTCCACTGTTCTGTCATTCTTTGTTGTTGTTGCAGGCAAGAGTTCTCTGCCAATTAAGTTGGTACTCCTTTTCTATTTGATTCAGTTGTTCATTTTAGCATTTTTTAAAATTTTGTTATTTTTATTGAAGTACAGTTGATTTACATTGTTGTGTTAGTTTCTGGTGTACAGCAAAGTGATTCAGATATATATATTATTTTTCATATTCTTTTCCATTATGGTTTGGGGCTTCCCTGATAGTTCAGTTGGTAAAGAATCAGCCTGCAATGCAGGAGCCCCTGGTTCGATTCCTGGGTCAGGAATATCTGCTGGAGAAGGGATAGGCTACCCACTCCAGTATTCTTGGGCTTCCCTTGTGGATCAACTGGTAAAGAATTTGCTCAGAACCCAGGAGACCTGGGTTCAATCCCTCAGTTGGAAAGATCCCCTGGAGAAGGGAAAGGCTACCCACTCCAGTATTCTAGCCTGGAGAATTCCATGGGGTTGCAAAGAATTGGACATGACTGAGTGACTTTCACTTTTCCATTATGGTTTATTACAGGATATTGAATATAGTTTCACTTTTCCATTATGGTTTATTACAGGGTATTGAACATAGTTCCCCATGCTATACAGTAGGACTTTATTGTTTATCTACTTTATATATATAGTAGTTTGTATCTGCTGGTCCCAAATTCCTAATTTATCCCTCCCCCACCCACTGTCCCCTGTGGTAAGCATAGATTGTTTTCTATGTCTCTGATTCTGTTTCTGTTTTGTAAATCCATTCATTTGTATCATAGTTTAGATTCTACATATAAGTGATATCATGCTATTTGTCTTTCTCTGACTTATTTAACTTCATATGATACTCTCAAGGTCCATCCATATTGCTGCAAATGGCATTATTTCATTCTTTTTATGGTTGAGTAGTATTCCATTGTATACATATACCATATCTCTTTTATCCATTCATGTGTGGATGGACATTTAGACTGTTTCCATGTTTTGGCTATTTTAAATAGTGTTACCATGAACACTGGGGTGCATGTGTCTTTTCAAATCAGAGTTTTCTCTGGATATTTGCCCAAGAGTGAGATTGCTGGACCATATGGCAACTGTTCTTAGTTTTTTAAGAAACCTCCTGGGCTTCCCTGGGGGTTCAGTGGAAAAGAATTTGCCTGCCAATACAGGAGACATGGATTCAATCCCCGGTCTGGGAAGACCCACATGCAGCAGAGCAAGTAAGCCCTTGCACCATAATTACTGAGTGTGTGCTCTAGAGCCCAGGAACCACAACTACTGAGCCATGAGCCACGACTACTGAAGACCCTGCACCTACAGCCTGTGCTCCACAACAAGAGGAGCCACCAAATGAGAAGCCCACTCACCCAGACTAGAGAAAAGTCTGAGCAGCAACACAGACCCAGCACTGCCAATAAATAAATAAGTAAAGGAATCTCCATGCAGTTCTTCATGATAGCTGCACCAGTTTACATTCCTTTCAACACTGTAGGAGGGTTCCCTTTTCTCCATACCCTCTTCAGCATTTATTATATGTAGACTTTTTAATGATGGTCATTTTCACTGGTATCAGGTGATACACCGTTGTAGTTTTGATTTGCATTTCTCTAATAAGTAGTGATATTGAGCATCTTTTCATGTACTTTTGGCCTTCTGTATGTGTTCTTTGGAGAAATGTCTTTTTAGGTCTTCTGCCCATTTTTTGATTGGGTTGTTTGGGTTTTTGTTATTGAGTTGTATAGTATATTTCTATATTTTGGAAATTAAGCCCTTGTCAGTGACATAAGTTGCAAATATTTTCTCCCATTCTGTAGGCTTTCTTTTCATTTTCTTTATGGTTTCTTTTGCTATGCAAAAGCTTATAAGTTCAGTTAGGTCCCATTTGTCTATTTTTGCTCTCATTTCTATTGCCTTGGGAGACTGACCTATGAAAACACTGCTATGATTTATGTCAGAGAATATTTTGTCTATGTTCTTTTCTAGGAGTTTTATGGTGTCATATCTTAAATCTTTAAGCCATTTTGAGTTTGTGTATGGTGTGAGGGACTGTTTCAACCTGATTTACATACAGGTATCCTGCTTTCCCTAAGTCACTTGCTGCAGAAACTGTTTTTTCTCTATTATATATGATTGCCTTCTTTGTCAAAGAGTAACTGAACATATGTGTCTAGGTTTACTTCTAGGCTCTCTATTCTGTTCCATTGATCCATATGTCTGTTTGCCAACACCGTGCTATTATGATTACTGTAGTTCTGTGTTACTGTCTGAAGTCTGGGATGGTTATTCCTCCAACTTTGTTCTTTCTTCCTCAGGATTGCTTTGGCAATTCTGGGTTTTTTTATGGTTCAAAATAAATTTTAGGATTATATGTTCTAGTTCTGTAAAAAATGTCATGGATCATTTAATAGGGCTCCCATTAAATCTGTACGCTGCTTGGTAGTATGGCTGGTTTAACAATATTAATTCTTCCAGTCCAAGAACATGGGATATCTTTCCATTTCTTTCTATCACCTTCAATTTCCTTTATTAACATTTTATAGTTCTCAGCATGTAAGTCTTTTACTTCCTTGGCCAGGCTTATTCCTAAGTATTTTTTTGACATTTTAGCCCACTTTAAAATGTTTTTTTTCCCTTTGGCATCCTGTAGCTTGACTGTAACATATCTAGAGGTAGATGCTATTTTTATTTGGCTTGATGGGTTTAGTTAACCATCAATATGAGAAATTATCTTGCCTGAACTTCCACAAAATCTTAGGCTCTGTCTCTTACAACAACCCACATATACCCATATCTGCAAATCCAATCAGACAAATAATGGCACTGTTCAATCTCCCATGACTCTTAACATCTTAAAGTCATGTGCTGTATGTTTTATGAATTCCAACTTTCTATTTTTAAATCTAATTAATCCTTTCATCAAGTTTTCAGTATTCTGTTTATACTTCCACAAAAACATTTATTTCAAGGAATTTTGTCAAGATTTTACTTCCTTTATTCTTTTTCAAAACTTGCCCATTTAGTATTATAAACTCCTCTTTTTTTTTCATGGATATTATTCTACCCTTTATGTTTTGAAATTTTTAAAACATTAATCAATGGCTCCCGTAATTCAATTTCCTCACAGATAAAATCTCCTATTATTTTTTCTTTACTTTGGATTGCCCCCATGTACTTGGTAATTTGACTGGTGGGTGCATTTTGAGTAAGAATTCATCTTCTACAACCCAGTTATATTTTCTTATAGTTTCCACTTTCTAGTGGACCACAACTCATAGTCAAGGCTTTTGGAATTCTAGAAAGTCACAGGTTTAATCCCCAAGCAATTATGTGTCACAAATCACAACTGGCCATTCAAAGTTTCAGTTATCTTTCCTGATCAACCACAGGTACAACCTTGAAATACTCATCACTGCCTCTTCAACCTCTCATGATTGGCAGTGGGCTAATTTTCAGCCCCTTCGAAGTAACAGAAATCCCAGTTACCATTATATATTTTAGTCTCAGTGCCACAAATACATCAAAATATCAGTTGTCCATTCAGAGACTGGATTTTCTATTCTATTTCTGGTCTCTGAAAGCTTGTGTCCTTTTTTTTTTCATTTATTTTTATTAGTTGGAGGCTAATTACTTTACAATATTGTAGTGGTTTTTGTCATACATTGACATGAATCAGCCATGGATTTACATGTATTCCCCATCCCGATCCCCCCTCCCACCTCCCTCTCCACCCGATTCCTCTGGGTCTTCCCAGTGCACCAGGCCTGAGCACTTGTCTTACGCATCCATCCTGGCCTGGTGATCTGTTTCACCCTAGATAACATACATGTTTCGATGCTGTTCTCTCTAAACATCCCACCCTCGCCTTCTCCCACAGAGTCCAAAATTCTGTTCTGTACATCAGCCATTAAAAAGAATTCATTTGAATCAGTTCTAATGAGATGGATGAAACTGGAGCCCATTATACAGAGTGAAGTAAGCCAGAAAGATAAAGACCAATACAGTATATTAACGCATATATATGGAATTTAGAAAGATGGTAACAATAACCCTATATGTCTTTCTTTTTGAAGTAGACATCTCTATTTAATATGCTTTAATATTTTCTATCATTGCTCTCTGCCTCCAGTAGACGATATCTTTCTGTACTATCATCTTGTCCCCAACTCAACAATCCATCCTTCTTATGCACTATAAGATAGCAGCTAATCAGACTCAAGTCCCAACCTAATTATCTGATTATTGTAAAGAGGGAAGATGGCACTCTTTGCAAAACTGTATCTTCTATTCCAAGAGCCTCATAATCTACATTGGAAATAACTGCGGGCATCCATTTTTAGCAATATGTGAACCAAAGAGTCCAAAATGTCCTCAAGAACACTCTTGAAACTAATGGATAAAACTTATTTTAATATTTTTATGTTTTATGATTTTTTAAAACATGACTTTTTTTTTTTTAGTTGCACTGAGTCTTCATCAGGGCATGTGGGCTATTTGTTGTGGCACACAGGCCTTCTCTAGTTGCAGCACATGGGGCGCTTGTC